AAAATCACATGTTAATTGCTAATGCACATTAATGAATACAAATGGCTCTCTGGGCTTGTCTGCCCCTTTGTAATGAATTATTATCGCTCTCGACAATCACGTTTCTCAGCATTTTTCAATTAAGGGGCCAAGGGCCCCCTCTGATGAAGACAAACGACCCGCACGCCTGCCCGCGCCGAGCCTCCCGCCTCCCGCATTAATAGCTCTCCAATTTGGGCGCATCTTCCGCCATAAACGTGGCGATCCATTTTTTTTAAGTCTGACACCGGTTACGGAATTACGAGCAGGTGCTAATTACACATCTGATGAGGAGTCCAATTTACGGCGGGAGAGTTAACGAAGGGAATGCCGTCCTCGCTGTCAGATTAAACTGCTTCTGTCATCCTGGTGCCGGTGCTCGAATCGGGACAGTGGTTTGATAGACACGGGGTGGGGGGGGGTTGAGATGCCAGTTGCTGACAGGGCTCCTTATTAACTCGTCGCTCGTAGCACTCACTGACGTGCTCGGATCACACGGAGTGCAGCGCCGGCGAAGGTCATACACAGCAATGCACACTGAAAAGGAGGAAAGACAGGCGAAGATGTCCGAACTACATGGTCTGCTGAGATGCCTGTCTTTGCTTTGAAAAAGTTTACGAATGCAAGTTGACTTTCGGGGAGTTTAATCAACCCCAAACCTTTATGTCCAGAGACTGACAGTGCAGTTTTTAGGAAACATGCAAATATAGAGTTGGTGCCAACCTGCTTCATTCACCTGGATTAGTGGGTGGTGTAGAAGGATGTGGGCAATTGCATCGCTGCTGGCTAACTCTGTAGGCACTGTTTGGGTGCTTCCTGCTGTCTTCACTAAGCAGGGTTATCCCAGAGCTCGAGGTCCTTCACGTGTCACCGGGGGACCCCACATGACTCATGTCATGCGCCAGGGCATTTTGTCATTTATGTCTCATATTTTGAGTGTCATTGTCATCGAGGCACACGGTGTGCCGCGCTTGAGAATATGGAGGCGCCGAGAGCGAGGCCCCCATGAGAGAGAGCGGCTTGGAGAGTGCCGGGTTACGGCCGTAATGGCCGTTTCCGCAGGGAGCTGGGGAGCCCTTCGTGATTTACGCCACTACCTGGAATGGGTCCCCAGAGGCAGCTATTAGAATGCACCATGTAAATAAAATGAAAGACGAGTCGCTAAAGGTCAAATAAAACAGTGCAGTCCTTCCACGGTTTAAAGAGGGGGAATTAAGACGGTTTTTTACATTCTTGTATTGTCCCCCATAGATCCTAGAACAAGATGCCTGCACAATGCATAACTGGTCATCTGAGTCTTTCAACTTTTTTTTTTTTTCTGTAAGAAGACCTTCTGGGAGAGTATGGAGAATGTGGGAAGAAATATGAGTCTACTTTGAAACATGAGCACTTTTCATTCCAGTAGTTACGTCAATATGTATTTTGATGCATAGTTGATGCATATTGGCTTTGCATATATCTGAAATTCCTGAATTGTTTGGACTAATGCTGAAAAAGAGCTTGTTTTAGGTTTGTTTATTTTACTAAGCAGCTTTCAGCTTTCACCTCCCAAAATGTTAATAACCCCCCCCCCCCCCGCCTGATCTATTTTTCTTGTTCTATTTCATGCTGAAAACATTCAAGAAGAGTCTAACGGTGGAAGTCGTGGAGGGAAGGGTGGGGTTCCCAGTAATGTCAGCCTGACCTGGTCAACTTTTTGCCCTTGGAGGTCAAGGTTTTGAGAGAGCAGAGGTTAGAGCAGGTTAACAGGCTAGTTAACCTCCCATACTAACCTAACCCTCACCTCACATGCTACGAGGAGCCCTGCGAATTCCATCTGCACTTCATATGACTCCATAAGAGCTGTGTGTCCGTAACTGTGCCACCAGCTGAAATGCGGATTGATTTTGATCCTGTGAGTTGAGAGCTTTATGATCCATCAGGATCCAATTACTGTCCATCATCTCCGCTAATTGCAATCATGCAAATGCGGCCTAATCAATCATTCAGCTGGGAGATGTATGTCACTCATAGATCCCATCCAGATGCAGCGACTTACCTCCTATGTAACAATGGAAGGAGAAGTTGGACTTCTGAGGAGAAGCGAATGACCTCTTCTCTGTGGCATGAAGTCGCCATAACAGGGACGGTTCCGGGCCTTTTCCCTGGTCCGCCCCTCAGCGTTTGCGCCTGAGAGCGTTAATGGTCACTGGGGCCAAGGGGTTCCCCAGCTCTGGGGGCTGTTGTTGTTCTTCTAAGGTGTAACCAATGGTTACCAATGCTATCAAAACCGCTCAAAAACCCCCCCAAAAAAAGGAACAGCTTCCTATAAAGAGCCTTCCAAAAAAACGGCTATGGGGGCTCCAGAAATGTTTCCCATAAACAGCGTATTCCCAGCTAGCTTAATTAGAGCTGAGCCCTCCAGGACGGACTTGTCATAATTGGCCTTCCTTGACTCGTTAAACCCCCTCCCGTCCCCCCCAAAGCTGATAAGCAGCCTCCATTCAAATCGTCATGAATAGCCTCTCTGTTACTCTGCTGTCACCAGAGTGACACCAAGGGGCCTCACATGGACAACAGCGGCAAAAATAAACAAAAATGCACTCGCCAGATTATCCCCTCCACCACCCACCCTCACTCCAGCGAGGCTCGCTCAGTCCATGGCCCTGTTCAGAGATGAGAATGAGAATTTCTGTGTCCCGATTCCTCTGTCCGGCCTGATCGCCTGTCTCACTTTTTGACATTCCGTGGGATTTCAAAACCAGCACCTGGGATAGAAATGCAGCTGTTTGATGGGGACCTGAAGTCTAAATTCATAATTTCAATAAAAAGAATTTAATAAACACACCATAACACTAGAATGCACATATAAAGCAGATTTGTCGTTGCAATGTGGACATAATCAGCCGGCCTCGGGGGGCCCTCTCCAAGCTTGGGGCCCTGGGCCATTGCCTGCGCTGCCTGGCCTGTGTGGATCCTCTAGTGAAATGGATGGATCTGTGAAATGTCGACTGTACAGGAAGATACAGAATCACCGAGAGCAAAGGAAAAACACCCACAGCTCGAAGTGGAACTAAGGGACATTTCCTTAGGATGTCAGGGATACCCGGTAAGTATTTACATCGGCACTAGACATGGGTCAGTTATATACCAAGTATAAATGTGGTTAATTTTTGAAAAACATGAACTGCAGTCATTTTGAGGTGGGTCTGGGGGGGCAGGTAAATTATTGTTAGAGAGATTTTTTACGATGACGCAGAAGTAGGCACTCAGGCACGCTGCTGTTGGAGCTCACGTGCCCACCGGCGCCTCCTGCAGGCTACCTGAGAGGCTGCTGGGTTGAGGCTGTTTTTATTCGTAATTAAGCCTCTGGTTTCCAGGCCCCAGTGTGTGCTGGGCTTCCAGGTGTCTGAGCACTGCTGTCCCAGCACAGGAGTCTGGGTAAAAGGGCCAGCCCTCGAGGAAAGCTGCCTGAAAACACCTGCAGATTGGTGGATATTAATTCATTGGTCAAAAAACAGCCCACAACTGCTTTTCTACCTGAAATGTGAGGGGAATTGTCCTGTGGTATTTTTTTTTTTTGGTGATGGGGGCAGCACTCTGTGAAAGTTATTTTTACACTCTATCCCCTGAAACAAGGCAGGTCTACACCGTGCCGTGAACCCGGCACCGGTGGATTTACAAGGGGGCTGTGAGGTCACCGCTCGCTGTGCCCGGGCCTGTAAATCAGCCAGGGCCACTGCTGTCACCACTGCTGCTGCCGAGACTTGCGTAGCCTCATCGATTCGGCCTCCACACTGCGCAGACATTCCTCTCATTTCCCACACCGGGCACCAGCAGCTCTGACCTGGGAGCCAGACAATGAACAGGCCTTCCCAGCAGTTGGGCTGGCCCACAGAGGAGCACAGGGGCCTTTTGTAGAGGCCTGAGAGTGGGAAATGGGGTTAGGGAGACACCTGCATGCCGCCTGGGTCACATGTTCACATGTGGGATACCTCGAGTCATGTGACCTTGTGAATCATATATGGACTAAATGGGTTCAGGCTTCACAGGATGTGTTAGTGGGGAGAACTGTATCAGAGGGACTTAGTGGGTGGATTGGGGGCCTATACACCGAGTGTAAATTAAAAGCACTATGGCTGGAAGTGAACCTAACGGTGAACCATGACAAGGGAATGAGCGAGTGGAGGCACAGGAAAGGTCCTTTGCCTGGTGCTTTCCATGCTGATACAATAAACAGTGTGTTTATCCTGCTGTAATGGTGTGTGTGTGTGTGTTTGTGTGTGAGTTTGCATTGATCACATCTGAGGACCAAACTGTCCCCAAAGTGTAGTAAAACCTGAAATTCCCCTACTTTTGAGGACATCATTTTGGGTCCCCATTTGGATAACCTCAGTTTTATAAAAATCTGTGAATGCATTCAAAAAAGTAAAAATGCCAAAGGTCTTGTATTTGGGTTGGTTACTTATGGTTAAGGTTAGGGATGGATAGAGGTTAATGGTGTCGTGATTGGGATTAGGGTTTTTGCCATAGAAATGAATGGACGGTCCTCATTCAGATAGGTACACCAACATGTGTGTGTGTGTGTGTGTGTGTGTTTGGGTGCGTGCGGCTCCACGCATTGGGCTTCCCCAACTAATGCATCAAAGATCCGCCTGCCAGTCTAGATGGGATACACAACGATCAGGTAGGACAGACGGCCCAGCCAGGAAACACTAAGCTGAAATCCAACAGTGGCACCTTCCCTTACAGCCCCACCCAGTAAACCTGGCCTTCCACTCCACTCATACTTTATTATTTATAGCACTTTATAATGGAGAGTAAGGTTAAGATGGAGAGTTATACTGGGGAGTATCCAGTGAATAAATAAGAATTATCCAGACAAGCAATTGCAGTTCAACGTTAGACAGATTTATATTTCCGTATGAATTTTTAATGGCATGAAACCTTGAATCTTGTGAAATGCAAAAGGAGACCCCAGAAAAGCGCTTTGTTTGGCCCCTCTGAAGATTCTCCACAGTCAAGTGCATGCAGACATGCACCATAAAGGCATATATCCCTATATTAGAACATCTGAGACATACAACAAAGAACTCATTTATAAACTGGGAAACATCAATCAGATTCGACTTCTACTGGAAGAAGGTAAAACATCTTCTTTGAATGGATTTTTGGGGTGGAAATGAGCTTTAAATAGACTATAAATAGATTTTATAGATCATTATTATATTGCTTTTATTAAAACCACAGCAGATTAAACTGAGATTACCATGTAATACAATAAGAACTGCACTGCTGGTTCAGTCCAGCTATCATGGCCTACAAACAGGTCTTCACCCGTGCCTCCATCCTGACTTCAGCATATCAGTGCTTCTGCATTTCATCATCTTAGTTAATATTTTCTATACGTTTCCTATAGTGTGTGAGAAGAGACAGGAGTGGAAGAAACACACACACATTTACTGTGTGGAGTGATGAACACCAGAGTCCAGATCTTGAATCACCTTCCGTTTTAAAAGGACAGAGGCCCCCTGAGGACGGCCATGTTTGTCGATAGATAATAAATGCTAATATTAAACATTCCTCCCTATCATTACTGTTAGCGGTAATAGGAGTTTGTGGTTCTGTCTGGCCCATTTCCTGCGTCCCACCACCCCCACCGCACTTACAGTGTCTCTTTCACGGACAGACCGCTTCTACCGACCAGTTTTCATGTAAACATACAAACCATACTTCATGAACCACAACACCAAAGCACATCTGTTTAGAATCTGTTCAGAGCTCTAACACGATACACATGATACATATAGCTCATTATCTGGAGGAGAATACTGCAGGTAAAATATTCACATTGTGATCAAAACAACTCAGTTTTGTTCTGATGGACCCTTGAAGGCTGATCATCTAAGATCTAAAATGCCAAACTGCACCGAAGTGTGTCAGTGTGACGACGTCCTGCAGAAGAACACAGACAAGGTTCACGCTGATTCAGGCGGCAGATTACAGAGGGTAAAATTAAAAATAAAAATACACGGGTGTGGGTGTGTATGAAAGCATACAAAGTGTCTTCTTTGGGAGAATGCTGGAGAAGGTAGCCAGGGAAACCAGCAGTGTTCAGGAGGCTTTTTCCTGGATCCACTGGGTGCCACAGAGAGCCGGGATGTTCTGAAGGACGTCCAGCCAGACTTTGTAACAGAAGAGGTACTGTTCCTGGAATCAGAGGGAAGGCCGTGTTCATTACCGAGCAGTACTGTTGGATTTATTGGGCTCCGCTCAGCCCGTCTGGAGGAAGGGAAACCCAACGCGCCCTGTGCTGATGTAAGCAGAACTCCCCTCGGACAGCTAATGAAATTAGGCTGAACCCTGAAATGATCTGCGTTGTCTATTTGCCAGGAAACAGCTGCTTGTTCTGTTTTCTGGCTCCATGTGGTTCAGCATTTAGGGGCCCCCAGGATGTGAGTACAGGCATTAATGGACCAGGGACACATATGTGTGGCCTTTAGAGATCTAGGAGCTCTGGGGATGTCTAAAGGACCAATGCTTTACCCAGAGGCAGAGAGCCATCTCTATAGGGATGCCTCAGAAAGTCATTGCACTGCCTGAACTGCAGAGTAACACACCTTGGTCTGTACCATGCCGTGGCGCTGCAGCCTCATCTCCCTCACAATGCTGCTGATGTTTATCTGCAGAGGCAGAGTAGCACAGTGGTTAGACTCACTGGCAGCGGAAGAGCCAGGCCTGGCCTCTAGGGAGGGAGAGGGGGACACAGGGCGGGCAGCTAAAGGCTGGGGAGAGACGTCTCACACTGAGGTCCTTCGCGATGAGGGCCAGGATGACATCAGTGCAGATGAGGACGCCGGCTCGGCCAACGCCAGCGCTGCAGTGCACAATGACGGGGCCGGTGTGGTGCACGGCCCGCATGTAGTGTGCAAAACGCACCAGCTGGTGGCAGGAGCGTGGCACTCCGTGGTCGGGCCAAGCTGTGAACTTCAGGTGCCTCACTAGGTGGACGTCCCCACTCTGTAAGAGAAAGGGGGTGTCATTAATACAGCGGATAAGGCTGGACCTCCAGGAGGATCTCCTCACCGCATCCTCTGCTCCCTCCTCACACACATCAGCGCTCCATGCCTGCACTCCAAGCTCACCTCCTTCTCCACCATCTTGATCATCCTAATGTAGAAGTAGTCCTGCCGCTGGTAGTTGCCCAAGATGAGCTGGTAGCGCCCGGTGTCCAGAATCTCATGGAGCTTCTCGGGCCAGTACCGGTGGCACTTGACCCGGCCGCGCTCCACCTCCCGCGTCACCATGGCGATGACATCTGAGCGATTCTCCCACACCATCTGCCAAAAGCAGGCCTGGGTGCCGGGCAGTGGGCCCTGTGTGCAGATGTAGCAGAGCCGCTCGCTGGGCCCCACGCTCATGCGGATGTAACTGGCGTTGATGTACTCCTGCTGTTCCCCCACTGACACCCGTGTTCCATCGTCTGTGGGGTCACAAGGAGGTAGGGGGGGGGCATCCCAAAGGGCATCACACAGGGAATCAGCTCAGACTAGCACAAAAGCTGGAGGGAAACGGGCATGGGCATATTGGAACGTGGCAGAAATTCCTTCGGGGTAAGATGGGAATGTTGCTCATTCTTACCGGATTTGCTGGGATCCTTTGAAATTATCTAAAGACTGTAAGAACCTTTTCAAATTGCAGAAGGCCCCTCGGAGACAAGTTCCTGAAGACAGGCCCCTAGAGAATGCCCCTCGGACACAGGCCTCCGGAGAAGCCCCCTCGGAAACAGATTACTGGAGTAGGCCCCTCGGAGACAGGCCTCCAGAAAAGGCCCCTCGGAGACAAATCCCAGAGAAAGGCCCACCGACAAAATCTCCATGGTGATGTGCGTGTGCCTCAGTGTGGTCCGCAGCCCCTCCGGCTGCAGACGGAGCCTCTCCTTCTGGGTGGTGTTGAGTTTTACAAGCAGAGCAGCAGGGCTCTGCAGGCCAGTGAACAGTACAGATCCACAGTGGCCTTACTATCAGAATGTGCAATGCGCGTGACCCCCGCAGCACAGACGGAACACACACGCAGCATGATATGTGCTGTAAGAGAACCGGGGAGGCGTGTGGGTGGGCCCGCTCCCTGCATTGTGTACCTAGGACCCTACACTGGATCAGTCATTAGCTGATGGTGCAGAAGACTGAATTCATGTGGACCTTCAATAGGCAGACAGGCCTAAGCCCCAATATCCTCTCTAGATTCTCACTTCAGGGGGTGCAATGGAGGGGGGAACGTGAGCTGCGTGCCAGCAACTCACAGGGCAAAATGTCTCGGTACCGGTTCTTCTCCCGGTTCTCCGGAGCATTTCCCACAAGGCAGCTGTCGGCAGGTCTCAGGTGCTCCAAGGCCTTTTGGGAAGAACAGGAAGTTCACCGTGCGAAGAATTAAGTTGAGTTAGGCCTGGCATGCCACCTGTTAGCCTATGAGAGGGCCCAGGCGCTCGATTCCTCTCCTTGGCTATGATGAACAGAAGTGGCCAAGGAGCCATAAAAGTACACTGCTCCTAGTGTTACCCAACTCCGTGTGTCAACTCAGGTCCGGGTCGGATCGGGCCACGTACCATGAACTCCTTAATGAGATCCTGCTGGTCCAGCTGGTGCTGCAGGTTCTGAATGAGGGCCCTGAGGCAGACGCCGGAGTACTGGCTGTTCTCAGACGGGCTTGTCACAGCCAGGTTGCTGAGGGCCTCCTCTGACACAATGGGGTTTTCTGCTTCACGGTGAGAAAAGCAGAATTGAAGATCAAATTTCCGAAACTCACTCGGTCCATTTGATTGTTGTTTTTGAGATGCAACAGTCAACGAAAGTCAGATTTCCTCATCATATGTTATGGTACCTGGAACCAACACTCACTCACCATAATCCAAGGAAGAACGTTCAATTTCAACTCACTAAGGGCACAGAAATTTTGTTGGATGTGTGTCCCATGGACTGAGTGAGTTTTGTAAGTTTGTTTATCATTTGTAGGGATAAGAAACCTGCATGGAAATATGCAGGCTCCTACAGAAGCCCCGCCCACATATCATCTCTCTCGCTTTTGAGGTAAACTCTACAAGAAAGCTCCAAGAAGCACCCTGGAATCACAGCTGTTATCAATCAGAGAGTCTTTGTGAAGAAGTGGCAGGTAATGGACTGATTAGCAGCCCAGCTACCCATGAAGGACTCAGACGTCATCATATTTTTTTGGAGATATGCTCCCGGGCCCTGATCCATTAATCCACTCCACCTGTCAAAGGCGAGTCAGGGTATGATGAATCTTCATCACTGTCACCCACACCCTCCTCATCCTCACTGCTCCACTCATCACTTTGGTCTTTGCGTCGTCTGCTGGCTGCATCTCGCTGCAGTGACAGAAATGCGTTCCTGAAGCAAGGTGGAGCAGAGTCAGGAATAATGATGTTATTCCTCCATAGGGCAGTCATGCAAGGCCACCTCTTCCACCTAATGTGCTGAAAAGCTGCTCATAGTAAACCATATGTAACTACAGGTCAGTGACTTGATTTTATCTGAGACTCAAAAAAATGCAAAAGGAGGATGGATTTTATTAATGGCTCTCTGCTGCCCCCTTGTGGATAACTTAATAGCTGATTAAAGTCACCCTGTGTCCTGCAGCTGTATTAAGTTGAAAGTTAAGGTAATCATGCTCATTGTTGCTATTTACAATGCAATTCTTATTTGCTGCATGAAAATTAAGATAAGCAACTAAAAACACACAACCAATAGAAATAAATCAACCATAAACTCCTTAATTAAAGTAAAAGTCACACATTATGGTATAATTATTTGCCCTCTGCGGCTGTGTGGTACCTGTCGCAGGCTTCCTGGGCCTTGTCAAGCATGTACAGTGGGAGACAGGAGCTGTTTGGACTTTCCTGCAGGTCAGAAGTGAAAGGTCAGCATTTTGGATGTTACCAAACTGTGGTGGTAATGATGATGTCATCAGTGCGGAGAATGAGGGTGAAGATGACATCATCAGGCATTACAGGCTGCAGCTGTAGCACTGGGTGGAAACTTTCCGCTCTACCTCTCCAGAGTTTTCCAAGAATCTTCCCATAACCCGTCTTTCTGTCATTTCCTCTTTTGTGTCAGTCTCCATGGTGATTCCTGTGGAAAAAGTCACACATCAGTAGGATGAAGGACCTCGCCCAAAGTCTCGCCAATGCCCGAAGAGCTGACCTGGGTGGCCATGTTCAGGCTCCAGACCGGCCACGGTCCAGCTGTCTCTGTGTACGGTCAGCTGCACAGTGCCCTCGGCTGCCCACAGGATCTGCAGCACCTTGCTGCGCCTTAGACCCGACACAATAATGCCGTTCACCTGGCAGAGAGCAAAGCATCCTCAGCCAGAATGAAGGCAAGACAAGGCATTCTGCAGGAGTTCTCGTAATACTACCATGTATGATAACAATAAAGACACGAGTTCCTTGAATTTATAGGCACAAGGAATCAGCTTCAACTTCGAGGCACATAATATAATAATAATAATAATAATAATAATAATAATAATAATAATAATGGTACCACTTTACAATAAGGCTCCCTTTTCCCACTTATAAATGGTAGTAACTCATTAATTAAAAAAGTGTTATAAGCTGTTATAACTGTTTATAACTGTCTGCTCATGATTTACAAACCTAATAACCCAGTTATAAACCATTTATAAACCCTTTATAAGCGTAGTCTTATTGTAAAGTAGCAGAAATTTACAGAATGATGGTCGAATATGTTTCCAATTAAACAGTATTTTTTGTATTCAGCTCCTTTATTCCATTCATGAACAGCTCCTGCCTCTACATATCCTACTAGCCATGAAGCATAACCCCCCACAGCTATGTTCCTCTGGCAGCTTGAGGAAGCTTTGATGGCCGGGTACCTCCAGGAGCACATCTCCCACCAGGAGCCTGCCGTCCAGCGCCACCATGCTCCCAGGTCTGATCTCTTTCACTCTGAGGGAGCTCCCGTTCGTCAGGGTGAAGCCCAGCCCCCTTGTCTCAGGCTTCGGGAACTCCAGTTGGTAGATGCGGCTCTAAACAGAGATGGGGGGGCAGAGCAAAGAACTGTAAGGTAGAGCAAGTGCTCGATGAGAGACTCCATCCCTGAGGACAGGTCATAGGTCCCTACACTGGCAGACACAGACTGGTGAAATATTCATGCCGATCTTAAGGACAGATAAAGTTCTCACCTGCTGCGCTGAGGTTGGCGGGAGGTTGCGTCCGAGTCTCTCCATACTGCCAGGTAAAGCATTCCCTGCAGAAGACAAACACAGGGGCGGCTCCTTGGAGACCCGCTCAGACTGACACTAAGGCCTGATCTCACAAAGCTGAGAAATAGTACACAAATTCACAACAGAACAGGACCAAGCTTTTAGCAGCTGGGTTGAGACAAAATCAGCCACCCACAGTTAATATTCACAACAAACAGCACAACCTGCCCACTTCATCTAAGCTAATATGCATTTCCAAAAAAAGGCCCAGAATAGCTCAGAGCCTTAGGGGTAAGAGTCCCAAACTCACGGTGCCATCGCCAGTCTGCGGCCATATCTGGAGAGCAGCACTGCACAGTGAACTGCCGTCCCTCCCGGTTGAGTCTGTGTGCCCCTTGAGGACACTTACCCCCAGGGTAGCCGTCTCCCAGCAACTGGTGACATGCTTCACAGGACAGCTCCCACTGCAAGCAGCACCGTGCCGTAATACCCTAGTGGGGGGTCTGCAGCTTCACTAATAATTAATCCCCCCCACCTCACCAATCCCAGCCAGAAAGGCATCAAGGTGTCCTTACTGTCGTCACAGGTCACATCCTGCTCTGCAACGCCTGGATCCTCAAACCGGGAGAACAGCGTCACATGCCTATTCCACTGGAACAGCCCTGGGAGTGGGTACAGTTTGAGAACAGCCGTCAGAGAAGGTGACAGAGGACACAGCTCAGGATGGGAGAAAGGACAGGCCTCAGGATGGCAGAGAGAGGACAGGCCGCAAGATGGCAGACAGAGGACAGGCCTCAGGATGGCAGAGAGAGAACAGGCCGCAAGATGGCAGACAGAGGACAGGCCTCAGGGTGGCAGAGAGAGAACAGGCCGCAAGATGGCAGACAGAGAACAGGCCGCAAGATGGCAGACAGAGGACAGGCCTCAGGATGGCAGAGAGAGAACAGGCCGCAAGATG